ATCACAAAATAAAAAGATCTTTTTAACTGTGAATCCAAATCATTCGTGACAGCATATTCATCGCACACATAATGTCGCCATTGATGATGACGAAGCAAATTTCCTGTCATCAACAATGGAAATACATGTGAGTACGGTTAGTCAATACATTTCGTTTAGTGATAAAAATCAATACTGACGACAAACTGTTAATCCATAACTGTGAATTGACATATAAGTCCTTGAGTGGTGGTAGAAGTGGGAAGGACGACCTTGAATGGGGACAACATGGAAAACAGCAAATACTTTGGGCCCGGAAAATTAATCGCATGGGTATTTAGATATTCTGATATTTTTTAGTAAAAAATATGGCATTGCATAGATCTCTATAGATCATAATACATTTCTCTGGATCTTATTAATCTATTGAAGAATGTCTTTTACAATGGAATTTCTTCAATTTTTGTTAAGAAATTCAATATAATTTAAACATTATTATAAATCCAAATAAGAACTAAAAAAAAAAAATTACATTCTTTGAAATAGGATATTAATTTATTTCAAAAGTATAGAAGAAAAAAAAAAAAAAAAAAAAATAAAATTTAAATTTGGCATGCAATAATTTTCATAAAAATCCACTTCTAGACAAATTTCTAAAGCTACTTTAAAATTTCTCTCTCTCTCTCTCTCTCTCTCTCTCTCTCTCTCTCTCTCTCTCTCTCTCTCTCTCTCTCTCTCTCTCTCTCTCTCTAGATTATAGATTAAAACGTATTTAAAAGTTATAAAAGGGATTAAATTATGCAAATATAAAATTGGAAACCATGAGAAAAGATTACTGCTCTGAAAGAATGAATCAAAGCCTATAAAATTGTCGATGATTCTTATGATATAGAATTATTATCGTTATAATTCGTTCTAAACGGTCATGAATATCAATGAATTTGGGAAGATATTTAATCGTATTAAAATCAAATTTAGTGTTCATGGTTTAAGTGATATTTAAATTTTTACCTTATATTTCAAAATAAGTTTTTTTATTGAAATAAAAGATAATACTATTAAATGTCAACATCGAATTTAAAATACGTGCAGGAAGAAAACTAATTATTTTTCATTACTAAAACTATCGATTGGTTATAATTATTTATTTAGAGGGTATCTCTGTAGGGAATTAACTAATAATAAAATTATTCAACACGTATCGAGACTTATGTAATCAGTCAGAAGATTTTAATGCACAAAATAACTTAAATTGAAATATCTATTGAATATAAGAAATTTGCTAATGTAAATTATGAAACATTTTAAAAATATATTAAAAATCTAAAATTAAATGAATGATTAAATATTATAGTATTAAATGTTTACAAAGGTTAATTGTCAGAGATATATGAAAGTCAATTATATCGAAAAATATATAAAGTTATTCCATATTGTTGAAATTATAAGAAAAAACTATATATATATATATATATATATATATATATATATATTACCTACTAATTGTTTTATAAAAAACAAAAGCAAAAACAAACAAAAAAAAAAAAAAAAAAAATTCGAGTTCGAATTGAGATATTATATTATGAGTAAATATTCAAATTTATCGTTAGAGTTATTAAATAGAAACATATTTTTTTTCAAAACATTTTGAATGTTAATGAAAATATCGAAAAGTAGAAATTAACATAATTATCATTCATTTTTATAATATTTCTATTTGTAAAAATAATCATCCGAAATGATTAAAAAAAATATTGCAACATAATTCATTATATTTTGTAAGAATAAATAAATACCTTTTATTTTTATCGTACGTACTTATTTATAAATTCATACTAAAACGAGTATAGCATAATTAACGTAATCTTAAGTAGAGCTGTATTTATTCTATTTATTCATTAATAGAAATCGAGGATTATGTTTGTGACAGAGGAATAAAGTATATTTTCCAGATAAAGTAGAACTTGACAGTGAGGTATAATCGTCCTTGTTCGAGATTGATATATATGTATAGGCATATAAATTTTTTTTTTTTTTTTTTTTTTTTTTTTTTTTTTTTTTTTTTTATATATATTCTTCCACCTTTAAATTTATATATTGTTCTAAATTAATGTAACGATGTTCACTTTTACGATGTTGCATGAGGATTATGAGTGAAAGTCATGAGAATAACAAAATTATTCATCCTCGTAAATACCATCATCACATACCTTGAAAAGTGATTTATTTACGTCATTAGTACAGTACGTATGTAAGAATAAATTTTTTACGGTTATTATGCTTATTGCAAATCGTCACGAAACATTAAATTCGTTCTTCTATTATAATATATCGAAAAACATATGCACTATTTTTAATTTTTTTAAAGCAATGCTATAAATGATTTATTATTATAGCAAATGATAAGAACTTTACATAATAATTGATTATGAAAAAAGAATTAAAAATTCAAGCGTGAATATATATTTGATCGATAAGGTTGAATTATTTCATGTACTATTGTACTTTGAATGCATTCTATATCTCTTTCTATGGCAATTAAGTAATCAACACTCTATTGATTAACTTAATCAGAGTAATTAATTTTCATGTTTTTTTTTTTTTTTTTTTTTAAATTAAGGCACTTATTTTTAAATGAATGAATGTACATTTATAAATCGATAATAAATCTTGAAAATAATATAATTAAATATTAAATATCATATTAGCAAGTTAACTGTAATTCAATAAAAACTCAATATTACAATAATTTAAATAATTTTTTTTGTTATTGATTAAAATATTGTATTAAAATGTATAAAAAGAAATACAAATTTTAGAATTATATAATCCAGAAATTTGCGTTCAAGTGTTTTGTTCGATAATTATATCTGTCATTTTAATGATTATTTCTTAAAAACTAATTTTAATGAAAATAGCAATAATTATTTAATAAGCATACAAGAAAATCTTTTTCTTAATTTATAAACTATTAAATTATAAACTATTAAAAAAAAAAACATTCAATATCATTAATAGTATAACATAGTATGCATAGTATGCAATATAGCAGAGAATACAGATTTAATTTATTTTTTGGATCAAGTGTATTGAACAAAACAAAAACTAAAAAAAATTCGACAAAATATGAAAATCTCATTATCAGAAGACGCGAAGTAATTTTTGTAATTAATAGAGTCCGACATATATATATATATATATATATATATTTATATATGATCACGTATGTAAAACTTATTCCTTTTCATGTTTAATCCATATTTAGTAAAATTTATTCTTCGTTATACAATATTTAAAATTGGTATTTAATTTCTATTTAACTAGCATACTATAAATAATTTTTAATCTATAGAAAAATAAATATACTTAATGATATTTAAACATTTAAAATTTTTAGCCAATTTAATCAATTCTAAAATTCTAAAGTGTAATAGTTTTATAAATTATAAGCATCTGAATTATATATGTAGATATATACAAATCAACAGGTTAAAGCTTAATTAAAAAAATTGTTAATACTATGGCTCTTTGTGCACCAATAAATACGGGAGCACAAGCTAATAAATAATGCCTTTTAAACGATTATAGAGAATCATAGAAAAACAGAACGAAATGAGTGAAAACACTGGAACGCTTGAAGAATAAAAATCTTTATAACGGAATTGCCAGTAGTAGCGAGAGTCTCGAGGTGGCGCCTCACGTTTAATCAACGACTAACGATATTGGAATCCGCAATGATCTTGGATAGGCGTTTCATGAATTGGCATTACAATTTTTTACTCGTAGATCACTGTGTCATTGCAAAATTATTTGAAGAATTGAAGATTTACTCTGCTTTTTAGAAAAGTCGCGAATCTTTTCCAACTTGTAGTGTAGCCAATTATTATTTTACTTTACTTCTATTATCGAACTTCAACATATTTACATTGAAAATGCCAGTTTTCTTTCTTTCTTCGACTCTCTCTCTCTCTCTCTCTCACACACACACACACACACACGCGCGCGCGCGCGCGCACGTGCACGAGCACGCGCACGCGCACAAACAAATACAGAGAGAGAGAGAGAGAGAGAGAGAGAGATAGATACAAGTACGCACACTCTCTTTTATATTCGTGATCTCGAAATATATACAGGCTCGTGCGTTTTTTTAATTCGCGAGACCGTATGAAAGTAGAAATCGGTATCTAGTCTATTTAAAAGCACATTTACAAGTCGATTTGCATACATCGGAATCCAAACGAGATCCAACTGTACATATAATCACGGCCTAAGCTTGTTATACTTAAAATAGATTCCGAAGGAACGCGTCGAGAAAAAAACGCTTCGGTAAAGCCTGAGAAAAAAGTAAGGAGCGTGTTATAATGTATACATGTGGCTGGAAATAATTCGCGGTCATTATTCTCTCAGCGGTATAGCTCGGCTGTCGTAAATAGAGCTCTATTAGTTTAACATATAATGACTTTGAGTAGGTAAGTCAATAAATTTTCGTGGATAGAAGCTACTAGCTAATACCCTGGTGTTACGTTTCGGCTTAACTTCATCTTACGGAACTTCTTCATCTGGACGTGTTAGAAAAACCTCCGGCATACACTAATTTCCTTATAAATACTTCATTTATAAAATGTTATTTCATCAATTTTATAACACTCATCGTTATGCTCGAGTCTTGCCATTAACATAAGTATTCCATTATTTTCGTACAATCTGTGCGCCAATCGACATTGTCGTTTCGAAAATTATTATATAAATTTATTTGTATAATGTACGCTTTCATGACATATTATACTACTTTTATGAATTTATTAACATAGATTTATAACTTACCGATTGAGAAGTACATGCTCAGTTTGATTAAATCTTTTCGATATTTTTCATCGAGTTAATTTAATAGTACACACACCGCTTCCCTTCGAATCACTAAATATTCATTCCACACGCTACGTGGAACGGTATTGCGCACAATTTTCGTTAATATGAAGTTTAATTGTTTTGTAAAGTTTTCCATCCTCTCGTTTGTGTAGGAAGAATGTAGGCGGAAAATAGCTACGTGTGCGATGGATGCATCGACGAATGTTCCGGTATGTGGTAGCGATGGTGTCACTTATCCAAACCACTGTACATTAATATCCAAACAATGTATGGGAGTGACAATTCTCATCAAGCATACAGGACCTTGTCCAGGTAAGTTTTTCTTTACCATCAACAAGTAGATGTCCTTATCAGCAGTATTTATTCACTTTTTAACAAACTATATATATTTAGAAAGTAATAATAGATTTGTAATTGAAGGATAATAAACTTAGAAAAGTAATGGTCTATCGTTGGTAAATGGTAAATTTTTACATAATTTTTACATTTTATCAATCTAATAATTAAGAATTTTATACATTTTTATCTGTGAAATCGATGCTAATGGGCAAAATATTTAGTTAGATTCTTTATTTATTGGGCATAACTTAAAATAGCAATTTATTAGATAATTGTATTAGCATTTTCGCTTTTCTGCACATATTATGATTCGATAGAAGTTGATCAATTACCACACATTTAGATGAACGAGCCTTGGAAAAATTCATTATCCTTTAAAGACATTGTAATATTGCACGGACACAGTTTGTCACCAATAGGAAAATTCGCACTTTTACATAAGCAAAATTTTAAAGAATTAATAATTTCAATAATATCATCATGATTAACGATAGTTTGTTAATAATAAGTACTAGACTGTTTAAAATGTTTCAATCATTTTTCATAGAAACAGATGTTTCTCATTGTGTACGTAGCTATTAATATGTCGGCGATGCTAAGTTACAAATTTATCGTTAAGCTATCATATCATTAGAATTCGATTTTCTTAATTTACTGTTGGTACAATCATGTAAGAATATTGATATTAATGATCCATCGATCCAACTCTGTATCCGAGAAAAATTCATGAGCACGCATTAGCTTTACGACTAATGGCTTCAATACTTTTTTAATACAACGAGATTAGCTAATTAAGCCTATTCGCGTGCGAACGTATCGTTTTACAAGCTTAAAACGAGTCGATTTGCCTATGAACAATTCCTTATTAAGCATGCGCCGAACTTACGAAAGACAATTATTGTCAACGAAGTCAATGAATGATGAGAAAGGGGCGCGATAGACCTGAATTAAAACTCCAGTTGAATAAGCCGGATAACGGAGTAGGGAAGCCCGTGATCCTTAACCACCTTGTGTGAACGCACATCGTGTGCGTCTAGTCGAGCCTTCAATACAATCCTAACGTTGGAAAACTTTGCGCTTCTGTCACAGAGACTCCGGCGTGCCTATCGGCCCGGGTGAGCGCGCGCCCGACGTCACGGCCAGTCTGCCGCCCCGACGGTACCTACGCCCCGACCCAGTGCCATCCGGAGACGGGCTACTGCTGGTGCGTGACCGCTCAAGGTCGTCCTCTGCCCAACAGCTCTGTCCGGGGTGAGCGGCCGAGATGCGGACGAGCAGCCGAAGCCCCGGCACCGACAGTCCCGAGCGGTCAGCGCAGACGTTCCCCGAGTTGGAAGCAGCGCAGGCAATATAGCAACCGGCACAGGAACACCTGCGATCGGGCAGACAAGGCCCGCTTCAACAGCAACCTCATCGAGAACTTTAGAATCGAGTATCGGAGGAGCAACGTGTCCGGCGAAGGTGAGGATGCATTAACGAGGAGCTCGTGCATTAACGATTTTTAGCGAAATTCGATGAATTTAATCGGAAAGTCAATTGCTTCGAATGTACGATGATCGCGTATTGGGTTGAAGTTCAAAATGTTTGTACTGTCGTGGACTGTAATAAACTAATCTCTACTCTTACGAGTTACGAACGTGCTACTGTATCATTGGCATAATCGCGATTTTCCATTTCTCTTATAATAGAGGCGTTTTGGCGCGCTCCTAAGTTGTATCGTAATTCCGAACAACACCATAAACAATCTCATTGCAATTGAATTCAGTTTGAAAAGCAAGAAAATAAAGAAATATAGCGTACGGTATTTCGTTCAGCAATAGTATATATGCATATATGTGTACATATATAATGTACACAAAGATATTAATTAAATGCATAAGATTACTTGTCGTTTAAATAAAATAATATTTTTATTAATATAGGTTGAATAAAAGTATTAGAAATACAAAGAAATTCATGTATGCTTTAATAATAATGCATTATTCAATATAATGTAAAGGCGAATTAATGTATTTTCGTTTTAGAAATATGTTTCTTTGATTTTATTTTCACTAACTCTATTAATGAGATGTAAGATGAAACGTATTTTCTCGCACTGCAAACTCGCACGAATTAATCTAATATTATCAATTGACTTAACTATCTCGAGTTTTCAATTTTCAGAGCCAATAATCGTGTAAGAGGTGATTATTATCTAAGCGAAATAGATTAATCCCATTTCAATGTAAACTGCAAATTCGTATTTTTAAGTTTGACATGATGCAATGACAGAAATTGTTATGCTTGTATAGCCAGTCGAATTTCGTATGTAGAAAACTAAGTTTTAATTTAACGTACTCTCGCGAATAATGTAATTGATGGACTTTTCTCTATGTCCTGAATATTCAATTTATATCAATGCATAATTGTCCGATTGTTAGGAGTTTGAAAATTTGAAATTATTGTCCTTACCGTGAATAACGTTGTATAAAAAATATGAATAAAAACTCATGATTTAAGCACTTTACTTCGCGTTCAATATAATTTCTTATAAAGCAGTAAAATGTATGAAATTTTATAACTGTGATAAATGAACATAATAAGTTTCCATGTTATGATAAATATTGGCTACGATATAATACTTAATAATATATTTGAGAAATGCTGATATAATTTATAGCCTTTAATTACCACACATCATTTTAATTTACATTCTATATTAGAAATCGTTGTAATAGATAAGTACGTTTTAAATAGAATAGATAAACTGAACGAGGTTCTATCAAGAGAAATTTGTTGCCTAATTGATAACAAATTACTTAACAGATAAAAATATTCAAATACTTAACATTTGTTTTAGTTTTATATTAAAAAAAATGGAATAATATATATATATATATATATATATATGTATGTATGTATGTATGTATGTATGTATGTATGTATGTATGTATGTATGTATGTATGTATGTATGTATGTATGTATGTATGTATGTATGTATGTATGTATGTATGTATGTATGTATGTATGTATGTATGTATGTATGTATGTATGTATGTATGTATGTATGTATGTATGTATGTATGTATGTATGTATGTATGTATGTATGTATGTATGTATGTATGTATGTATGTATGTATGTATGTATGTATGTATGTATGTATGTATGTATGTATGTATGTATGTATGTATGTATGTATGTATGTATGTATGTATGTATGTATGTATGTATGTATGTATGTATGTATGTATGTATGTATGTATGTATGTATGTATGTATGTATGTATGTATGTATGTATGTATGTATGTATGTATGTATGTATGTATGTATGTATGTATGTATGTATGTATGTATGTATGTATGTATGTATGTATGTATGTATGTATGTATGTATGTATGTATGTATGTATGTATGTATGTATGTATGTATGTATGTATGTATGTATGTATGTATGTATGTATGTATGTATGTATGTATGTATGTATGTATGTATGTATGTATGTATGTATGTATGTATGTATGTATGTATGTATGTATGTATGTATGTATGTATGTATGTATGTATGTATGTATGTATGTATGTATGTATGTATGTATGTATGTATGTATGTATGTATGTATGTATGTATGTATGTATGTATGTATGTATGTATGTATGTATGTATGTATGTATGTATGTATGTATGTATGTATGTATGTATGTATGTATGTATGTATGTATGTATGTATGTATGTATGTATGTATGTATTACTTAAATATCACTTAAAATATTTGACGACTTACTCTATATTATCTATAGGCAATAAGAATTCTAGTACGCTAATATTAAAAAAAAAAAAAAAAAAAAATGTTTAAAAATTACATGTAGATTATGAGGTTTACATAGCGTTTAACAAGTTTAAATTACAATATTTAGATTACAATAATCGAACACTGTAATTTACATAAACATTATTTAGATCCAAATATCTACATGCAATAAGGAGTTTATTTAGCACGAATAAGCTTATTTTTGTAAGGAACATACATTTATATATAAGAAAATATTGTTAAGGATATTCTACGATTTACACACATGTGGCTACATATTAATTTACGTTAGATTTAAACTTACTTATTTACTTCGTTACATTCTACAATTAAATGAAAGAACATTATACGTGTTTTATGTAACAACTTGATGTTATTTGTGACAAAATACTTTTATCAATTATGACATTGAACGTTCATCTATACTTGGAACGGAATAATAATATTAGTATTTATGTATTAATAGGATAGTTTTGATAGAAAGTAAGAATTAAAAAAACATACGTTGAATGAAAATAAAGTTAAAATGACTACTGCTTCAATTAATCCTTTCTTGTTTAAACGCAATCATTCTATAATTTTTCTTTATATTGTCTCATTATGAACTTCTAATGTAAAGTATAATTAAACAAATTTATGTGACACGAAGGAGTAATGTTCTTTTATGAAACGTTTATTTATTTTATTATTTACTTTACTTGGACGCCGTAATGCCTAGATTATGGTAATATAAGAGAATTCTGACTATTAGAGGATAAAAGTTTTTTCTCCCAAACGAAACTGTAACGGACTTGACATCTACGATAGTTGCAAAACGATAAAATGATTATACTGTGCACGAGAGTTTAATATATCATTAAACATTTAAAAATTTTCTTCGAATAAATTAACTACATATGCGAGTTTTTTTTTTTTTTTTTTTTTTTTAATTTAATTCTTATATACAAAATAAAAGAAGCACGATAGTTTAGATTGTCAATTAATTTTAATTTATTTGAAATTGAAAATCATCAAAGTGTATTGAAAAAATAGGTGATTTTGCAATTTCAAATGTAACGTAAAATCAGGAAAAAAAATATGAGATAATATGATCGAAATATTAAAACCTTTCGCAACAATGATTATAAACTATGGAAAATCATGAATGTACGAGCCATTAATTAGATTACGTCGAATGTAAGATATCTTTGTTTAATTAAAGATATTATTTACGTCACCTTGAAAAGCTTATGCTCTAAAAAGAAGTTTCTTACTGTTTTTAATATTCCGTTAAATTATTTGTGCGCTTATAATTCATACATAATTTCTATGTATATATATATATATATATATATATATATATTGGTGATGGGCAATACATGGCCATTAAGGGAGTGTCAATTGACTGTTGATCATCTGAGAACTTTAACGCTCGTATGCTGGCGATGAAATCCGTCGTTAGCCAGCAAAGTGGAAATTCGCTCGAATCTCTTAACGAAAAATCTTCTGGCTTCAGGTGACAAGAACGTGGAGCGCGTGCTCTCGTGGAAGTTTGTGAGCCTGGATAAGGACAGCGACGGTTACCTCGACAGAGCCGAGTACAAGGAGCTCCGCCGACTCGCTAAAAAGGCAGTGAGGCCTAAGAAGTGCGCGCGCACGTTCGCCCGCACCTGCGACCTTAATCGGGACTTAAAGCTGTCCCGGCAGGAATGGGGAGCCTGTCTTGCCAACGACTTTACCCGTGAGTATACATAACGAGACAGTGAGAGAAAGAGAGAGATAGAGAGAGATAGAGATAGAGAGAGAGAGAGAGAGAGAGAGAGAGAGCGTGAACGTGAGTACGTTGAGTATGAAAGGTGTCGAGGGAGGAGGGGGCTGCAAACAGTCGCCGTGGATAAAGTATCTAAGAGTCGTGTTTTAGTTATAATTGATCATCGTTGATCAGTTCATCTATGAAGAACTGATTCAGTCAATTGAATAACATATATTATTATGACACGCCTCTTCTCTTGTATTAGACCTTAAAGGCATCCTTCTTTTTTTTTGTTTTTTTTTGTTTTTTTTTTGTTTTTTTGTTTCTTTTTTTTTTTTTTGTTTTTTTACATAAATTGTGAACAATTTAAGGTTGTTTTGTGTACCATTAAAGTAATTTGATGAAAAATTATGGATAAAATAAAATATGATAGGACGAATTTTACGGAAGAAGAATTGTAACCGAAAAACATCGGCTCGAATAGCGTTGTAGTGGGCTTTAGCAAGCGATACCCGTTCTTCTCACAGAAACTGTTGTTTCTATTAGGTATTGGAAAAATGATGAAACACACGGTGTAGTTACATAAGATAACAGTCGGTTTATCTGTAATTTACGTAGATATGTACCGAGTCTAGTCAGACGCGTACCGTCAACAACGGGACATACCGTCTGACTAGACTTTATGTGCTTTGATAAGACATCTTGTAAGCCTTAATCTAAATAAATTTTCCGACTCTTTTACATACTAGTGAGTTCTGAGATTTTTTTCTTACATAATAGAGCAGATTCGAAATAATTTTTTAACAATATACATTACCCACTTTTAATTGAATATTTTGAATCGCAGAGGCATCCATTTCTATCCGTGAAATATGTTTTAAGAACTATTAGTATAATATATATTACCATAATCGATAAATCATTGGATATTAAACAATGCACAAGGTATGTAATGGCATATAAGTAACATATAATTATTTTCCACTATTAATAATAATTTGCATTGTTGCCATTATGTACTTTGAATAATAAACTAAACTGTTAAATTCTTTTATCTCTTCACGACAGCAGTGACATTAGGATAGTTAGTTTAAATTCTTTTTTTTATGGGTAAAGCTTTTACATTCTTCGTTAATTTATTATTTGCATGAATTTTGTTATAATTTGTAGGATGATTTTAAGTAGCCTCGGTAGATTAGCAGCATTTGCGCGTTTATTTTGATCGCCTTATTTTATAATAATGATAAACCAATTATTAAACTTTTATAAAACATTACTTCATATACAATAAAGCATTTTATAATAATAGTTTTTAAAGTGCATATATATATATATATATATATATATAAATGTAATGATTTTCGTTTCAATGTATTTCAAGTGTAATTTTAACATAAAAATGGTCAACACTATTCATTAAAGTCCAAATGTATTAAAGTAAGATAAAAGATAATTATTTGTTTAAAATAATGATTTGGCTACGGGTAAAAGCTGAAGCTGAATACGACCCTTGAAAATTATAATTTATTATTCTGACAATAGGGCCATTATCGATAAAGTAAAATTTAATTTTTAAATTTAAAGAAATATATGTTTCTTTTTTTTTTTTTTTTTTTTTTACGTATCTCATGATGTACTTGAGGCTTTTAATGTATTTATCTTAGTAAAGACACTTAATTTATGCTATTACACATTTAGTGTTTTTCGATGCACACGTTCTCGGTGCCCAGACAGCCTCAAAGCCCACATAATAAACATTAAATGAACTTCTTTACGTTATCTCGAATTAAAGCTACGTATCCATGGAATTAAAATGACCTTAGAAGCTACAATTTTACTGCTTGTGTGGTAACGAAAGGGAAGCGGGGTTGAACGACCGCTTTTTTATGCGTACGTATGTGCCTGTGTATTGTGATTAAGAACCTTGAGAAAGAAGATTGTCGTACGTTCGGAGAAACGATCCTTTCGCAATAATAAATACTTTTAAACTAAATTCAGCATTCCAAAAAAAAAAAAAAAAAAAAAAAAAAAAAAAAAAATCTAAAAACATTATTGAATTTCAAAAAGATTTATCCGTATTTAAATTTCAAAATATATGTTAGTCAAACAGAAATACTTTTGTCTAAAAGTTGAGCGACTGCAAGAAGAAATTTTTATTATTTTGATTAAAAGGAATTTTGTTATATCCGAAGAATTATTCTTTGTATATTGTAAGGATAATGAAATACTCGAAAGTAAGTCATATACATGCAACATTACATTTAACCTTAAGTGTATGTAAATATGTACATTTATTTTAATGCACAAATTCACTAAATTTATATCAACATAAATCCTTTTAGCTTTATTTTTACTCTTTTTATCACAAATGATTCAGCTATTAAGAAGCCAAATGTAATGTTTAACTTTATCAAGTAGTTACAAAATTTAAGGAGGTTATAAATTTTCATTTTAAACGAAGATTTTTTTAACAATGTTTTAAAAGTCTTTTATCTATGTAAAAAATTATCCCTTATCCATGTGAGTTTATCATTAGTTTGAAAAAGTTTAATTAGTTGACAATACAACTCTCGCTCCAAGTAAAATGCAAATATGTGATAGTTTTATTTTTACATTTATAGTGCAACTATGCAACGAGTTTTATAAAAATTCATCTTTTTTTTTATCATTGCGAAGCTTTATATATTATTGAAAATAAAGATCTCAGTCTCTCAAAAGCAATACATCACATAAGTATGCGGCTAAGTGCATAGAGAATTGAGCGATTCCGGCCAATTTTATAATACGGGAAGTTTAATATAAAAAGAAAAAATAGCATTACAAACTTTCCGGGCATTACATCGTTAGGTAGGACCCATTATCTCAATTTGCATGTAAAGCTACGAGAACGAATACTGTGTACGAAAGTGAGAGAGTGAGATAGAAAGTCGAAAGTAAAATTAAACGCGAAGCACATTTCCGTCCAGGATGTCACTTTATACGGGGTTGTTGGTTGTTGGAAGCTATTACATGCGAAATATGATATCGGAAGGAGAAATTGATATCAAAGCGGGCGTAGTAAATTATATTTTTGCTTCCTATAAATGTTGCCAGAACATTTACTAAGCCCAATAGGAAAACTGGTTAGCTTAAATTTTCATCGAGATGATAATCGGCAGCAGAATTATTATTGGCAATTCATAAAACGAACGAAGACCATTTTTTATTATTATATCATTATTTTTTTTTCTGTTATATTATAATACATCGAGTGTCTGATGTTTTTGCATCATTGCGCAAACAATTACGACGATTTACACAATACTTAGTCGGAAATCTCTTCGATAATACACAAATTTCCGTACGAGCGCATTTTATAACTGTGCTCGAGTATTTTCAACAACGCTTCGTTTATTCTCTCCCCCCATGTAACTCTGTAATTCTTCACTCTGACATAACGTTATGGTTGACTGTTACCGTAAAATGAGATCTAAATAGGCGAGAGATGCTGATTTCTGACGGATTGTACATTTCCTACGATTCTCCCAAGCATTCACCACTTTACGATATATGCGTTCTCTCATAATTATTTAAATAACTATTTGATATTCTTTTTGCATTTAATTTCGATCTATTACGTGGATTTTACTTTATCTTATTTGAATTTCTTTCAATCTTTTGCTAAATCATGCACGAGCCAAAATGTTAACTTCTACGGATATTTCTAAAAAACTAAAACCAAAATCCTTTTTTAGCGTATTAGTAGTGGGGTTTTTTTTTTTTTTTAATTCTGCTAATTAGTTGTCAATACTTGGAGCGCTGAGGTTTGATTATTAATAAATAATGTATAGATGTTAGTTTGCTATTCGTAAACAGTGAGAGCAATAGTGAAATTTATATGAATCGAATTCTCATATATTTCGAATATTGGGTCTGTAACCGATGATAGTAAAGAAAATTTCAAACTCGTACATTTATAATTCCTTCTATTTATTTCTAATAAAATAATAATAATAATAATAATGATGATGATGATGATGATGATGATGATGATGATTTAACGGTAAAGCGAAAATAATTATAGTCACGTGTAGAATTAAAATAGATTTAAACGACCATTAGAGATGTATAATAATTATAAATGGATCATAATTTCATTCGGAAATCAAGCTCAAACACCTTGATTCAGTGGATAGGAAAAGCTCGGTAGGACAAATTGCGAAAGTCAAAACTGTTCTTCGATCAATCTTCATCACCGAGCGCAAAAAAAAAAGTCTCCGCTCAAGCCAACGTCAGAAACTACGCGCACGCGAGTGGAACGAATTGAGTCGAGAAAAGCCTCGTTTCACGGTATCCACAGAAGAAAAATAAAAATACGCTATACCTTTAGAAAGCTGCATAAGCAAGCTATTGCAATCATTACAAGCCCTATATAAAATAGACGGAAGTGAAGACGGAAATGAAAAATGAAAAAATATCGCTGTCGAGTTATTGCGCACAGGCAAGACAGACAGGCAAACCTACAGCCAAAATCTCACGTTGCAGCCGTGTGAAGTCATTGTTATCATTTAATTCATTCGTTTTTGCGGCTGGATTCAGTGGACTATGGGCTCGCGATCTCCCTAATCTACCGGACGCGAACCACGGATCTACACAAGTACTTTCTCTATCGCACTCGCATAATCGCTTAGTTTCGCATAATCCTGGTCGACCGGGGAAAGCAATATCGGCGATCTACCGACGAGGTGTACGAAACGGAATTTTGCGAGCTTATATCGATACAACACCGACAGATTGCGTTCAATATTCAAGATTCTAGACATTATTAATTATATATACTCAAGAAGTTTTTTTTCTTCGCAATAGGCTATTGTTTAATAAGTTGTCCAATAACTTTTCGCTGCAAGTACTTTAAGGTTTAGATAGCGTTCTATTGGCTCTTTAATAGCGTTTGGCTACGTTTATCGTACAACGTACTTCGTTATCATTACGCCGATCGCTCAATATTATCAGGAAGAAAAATAACAAGCACGGAAATTGTAAGGAAGCAACGATATTTACTGAAAAATACTATAGTAATTTTTTATTCTGTATTATGAGCTTTATTAAGCGTTGAAATGGTACTTCTGAACTATGGAATTAAAAAAAAACACCATCATGCCACTATCACTTTAATCGTATATAATTTTGATAGTGCGTTGTACAAACGTACACAAGCATAACTTAATTATTGTATGTTTTATAGTTATTAGTAATTGATATTATCGATATAATAGAAAACATAGGTAATTAGCCATTTCAAAATCTTAATGTCTTCATTATGCCAGCGCATCTATTATTCGTTTAATTCCAGTAGCGGCCATTACGCAACAATGCCTATAAATTTCAGACTGCTTATAATCAAGTGGATTTTCTTCGCGAATAATTCATCATTATATTATCACGCGAAATGTGCAGAAAATCAATTTGAAAGCTATAAATTTCAAGCTTTCACGTAGCGATTCCCCGAGCCTCGTTAAGTTTTATATTGCAATTACTACTTACAATTTGTTTCATTTGACTAGATCAGTGGTCACGTAGATCGAGCGCTACTTTCGTTCATCCGCATTTACGCAAGCACGAATAAATATTTTTACCCCCGCCCGCCCGCCCGCCATCACCCCCTTTCCCATCTCCCCGCTCCCCTTCCTTCCACTTAAAGAACATAAAGAGCTTGATAGGTCGATTAAAAGGATCGTTGTCCTTTGAATCCGTGAAAAGACAAGCAATTATCGACGGAGAGATTTAAGTTCTCCCGCAGGTAACAGATATCGCGCGGTAGATGTAATCGTGCGCAAAAGGCCGTGAAAATTTATCGCGCTATAAAAAAGCTTCACTGTCACTTTGCATACAACACGAAAACGCGAAGGTGTGTCTATTGCCGCTTGCCTTTTCGCATTATCACTTTGAGTATGGGTGATGGAGAGCGACCTTTCCCGAAGCTCGGCAAAATAACCTTTTTTCCTTCCTTCCAGTCCAGCGTGGCGATAAAAGACGTTTATTCACGACCTCACCTATGCGCTTATCATACGCTTATGTGTCCCGTCTTTATTTCACTTTCAATATTTTATTTTATTTTTTGTGCCTTTAATACTTATAGTATCTTGTTCTTTGATACGTATAGACAGTTCTCGGAATCAATGTCGAAGAGATATACGGAAATTTGTATGCTTATGTAACATTTTGTTATTTTAATAGTGGTATTATATATATATATATATATATATATATATATATATATATATATATATATATATATGGCAGATTCATGGGTCGGAAAGGAGCTGCGAACAAGTAGATAAAGCGCATAAATGAAGGAATGTTAAAGTTATATTGCGAAAAATTGCCTTTACATATTTATATTGCTTCCATTAAAGATAGGATGATAAAATTTCTGGACCCATTATCTTTTTTCCGACTTAGCTCTTCTATTTATACTACTTTACTTTAATTTAGACTCGTACGCGATTCTTATTACATTCAAGCTTTTATTACATGCATTATTAAAAACTAGGTGTTTTTCTATATAAATCTACAAATTTTCAAAACCAAATACATTGTTTCCCAATTTCGTTCTCCTACCCTTTACTAATATATCATCGTAGGAAGGTGGATTCAAACTAAAATCGTTGTATTTTACACAGTTTTGAAAGGCAATCCATCACCAGTTCATGCGCGTCCGACGTTTAACGACGATCCACCCGATGCAAACGATGATACGGATGGTGAGTTCATTTAATGATAGTAATTGTAAATTATTTAATGTTTAGATGCACTGCTGGTAAATAATATAGCAGCCAATCGTTAAGCTCGACAAGTCTAAGTGTAAAATTATATAATTATATCGATAATGTTATGCCTACTTTTTTCAGCACTTTTTCTCACAAAAAAAAAAAAAAAAAAAAAAAAAAAAATACAAATATTCGATTAGTTTATATAAAGGCTTTATCTAGCAATATTTTATCTTAAGATAATCATATATATATATATATATATATATATATATATATATATATATATATATATATATATATATGTAAAAAATATTTTTTTTTATTATCAAATTAAGATCAAAAATATAATTTTATTAAAAATAACAGCCAACGACTGCATATCGGATAGAAGATCAGTCTTGGAGGATCAGCGACAAAACTCTCAAGAGAAGTTTTACATACCAGAGTGTACTCCTGATGGAAGATATCATAAAGTTCAATGTTATTCCGGATATTGTTGGTGCGTTTATCAGGACACAGGAAAACCAATTCCTGGTACATCATCCAAGGACCAAACACCGAATTGTAATCCAGCTCCTGCGCCCGTCAGACCCATGAAAGGTAAAGCCCACAAAATTACCTGTCAATTAATTATCAATGTTTGCTATCCAATTGTGCAGTATTGCGATCATTCGCGCTTTATATTAAATGAAAAAAGAAAAGAAAATACTTTTTCAATATCTGCTGAAAAATATTTCAAAAACACTTGTAGGATTTAATTTAAAAAAAAAAATGAGCAATTACAAGTATAAACTTTTGAAGAATATATTTACGCTAACACTTTAGATGATTATATTTTTTTAAATTTTAACCTACTCTATCATCGATACATTAAATATAATTACACACAATTAGATATCAATTGCATAACAAGTCGTATTTTTGAAATTCTTCAACACTTTTATACGTCCATTGTAAAATTATAAAACTTCATCCACTGAATATTGAAAATTCATATCTACTCGTATGTGTGTATGAGTAATGCGTATAAGCAGACAAATCTATAAATGGGTACACTTACATACGAATATACGCATTTATAGATGAAATTATCGATAAAATGAATAAATAATCACTTCAAAAGCAATAAAGACATATACACAAAGTATTTTTCAAGTAAATAAAATTCCTTTCAAGAACATTGTTTGCAATTAATTTTCTTCGTTAAGCAGTAATTTTAAGCGAGTTTGCCAAACATCATTGAGCTATTACACTCTACAATTTATATTCTATAAAAGTAATAAGAATATCTTGTAATCGAATAATTGATCCGACAGCTTCAACAGAGGCTTAGTTTATAAAATCGTCCGGTTAACGTTGTAAATAATTGATTAAACTGATGATATGAGCAATGGAAAAAAATGGAAAAAAAAAAAGAAAAAAAAATGGTAATGTAAAGAAAGAGAAAAACTTAAGCAAGTGTATATTAACATTAGAATCGTTAAAAAGCTTAACAAGCTGAACAAGAAGCCTTGGATTATTCATTTAAAGGTTGTCCGGAGGCGAAGAAGCAGCTATTCCTGCGCGACCTCATGGACCTCATGCAAAAGAAAATGAAAGCCTCTAGCACAGATTCGGACGAGGCAACGGACAAATGGCAGGCGTCTAAGGAGGAGCGCATCGCGACTTGGCACTTCGTTATGCTCGACAAGAACAAGAACAAGGTAGGCCAGGTCCTCCTTACCTTACCCCTCCCCGTCCCTTATCACGCTCAAATCGCTCACCAACGCCACTTAATGCCACTGCGTTGTGCTCGGATTGCAAATTAGGTTTTGGAGAGGAAGGAGTGGAAGAGCTTCCGGGCAATGGTTGCTAATAGCCGGCAGCTGCGCAGGTGTGGCAAGAAGCTGCCGAGGTACTGTGATATCAACAATGACCGAAGGATCAGCATGACCGAGTGGCTCAGTTGTCTTAATGCTCAGCGACCCGCTACAGGTATACACCTCCCGCACCTTCTGCATTTTATCGAATTTTCATGAATTACGTAGATCGACAGCCGTCGCTTTCTTTTATACGCTCAACGTCCAGCTCGAGCTCTTCAACATCTCCTTCCTATGTTCAATGCAGTCTGTCTATGAGTGTAGCGTCAGCATCATCATCGATTATTCAAATATTAAAATGATGATGTACATTCGGAGATTACCTATTCCGCACATCGGCGACGAGCAATAGCCAATTCGTTAATAAAGCTATATTCGTCTTTTGATATAAGCGTAATAATGATTCATTGAAGGGGGAAACCCGTTAAATGCACTGCTCAATGAGTTCGATCGATCCCCGAGATCGCATAATATTATTCAACTTCTGTCCATACGTACTTTCAAGATTATATCAATTCTTATGTTTTACATAAGTCATTATGGTAAAAGAGCAAGGAGCCGTGCGCACAACTCGTTTCTACGACATTTGTGTCTCATTGAATTTATTAGACACTTTAGAAACAGAGGTACTTCGAAGCTCGAATTCCTCGTTATATTACCAAGCTTGAAAGATCAACGGTTACGCTACAATCAAAATATTATTTTGAAATTCTTACGCGTAATTATTAAGTGATAAAATAAAATAAAATAAAATGGCAATAATATGTCATACGGTACGGAAAAAAAAAAAAAAAAAAAAAAAAAAAAAAAAAAAAAAAAGTCGTGCCATTCACATTTGCACAATTACAAATCTTGATGATTCATTGGCTTTAGAAATTCATGCTATCGCGAGACATTACTTGAAAAATTATATCAATTACGGTTATAAATTATCTAAAAAGTTCATAATTATAACTTGTGAAATCTATAGGATTGTACAAAATAGAATAGAAGCATACTTCAAGCGACTCGGCATACGTATTTATTAATAATATCCCTTCTACTTCCCGTTTTATTTCTTATTAGCGTAGCCATTAGCATGATATTTTTTTAGCTATTGGCAACTTAACTATCCACACTTTATTTATTGTTATTTTTCCACTTTATCTTCTTCTTCTTCTTCTTCTTCACTTTCCATTTTTTAAATTTAAATATACCGTTATTATTAATCATTTTACATGAGGAGTCGCGTTTGTTGTCACAATAATCTTAATAATGAATTAGCAAATATTGTCAAATTCTTCAACTACTTACGAGTCAAAATTCACCCTAACGCATCAGTGTTTTCGCTTTATCTCTTCAATTCAATAATTATTATCGTAACTATAGATAATTAATTTCCACTTATGCATACAACACGTCGCCTATGAATAATAAGCCCTTAATCTATTATGTTGTATTTCATAAATTTCAACCGATCATCCATTTTCCAAATATTGCCAAGCTTGAAATAACGTTGAAAATATAACTCGAGATTAAGGTATTTGCAAATTGTCAAACGATCGACAATAAATTGATTTAATCGTAATCGTAACATTGTAAAACTTTAAACTTAAAAAAAAATTCACCTAACCATGCTAAATGACGAGGGGAGGAGGAGGAGCATAAAATTATGATTATTGACGATCATACATACTCCCCATTGATACAAGTCGATTTTACAAAAGCTCGGCGGTGGTCCCTCCAGTTGGCTTCGAACGCATAAATCATTCATTTATAAAAATCACCGCCGAATTCCTAGAAAATTCCAAGAGTCCAAAAAGTAGCTCGAGCATTAATACTGGCTTTATGACCGCTGAGCCGATGTATTGTCAACGGCTCTCTTGAAAAAGTATTATTCACGCGTATCGCTTTCTGCTCACCAGGTGACAGCTCCACGGAAAAGGCCTCGACGTCGAAGCCCCGAAGAAAGGGCCCCAACCCACTCGACCAGTTCCTCAACGACGACGATTAAAAAAAGGCGTTTCAATCTTGTGATAAGGCGGCCGAAAGCGCAAAAGCCGCTGGAGGGGGGGGGGGGGGAGGAGAGGAGGAGGAGGAGGCATATAACGTACCGAAAGATATGTGAGAAAATCGTGCCGGCGGCTACTAATACGACTTCCACATTATACATGTATATCGATCTCGCGAACTGGACTTACACGCGTTTACGAGCTCAACATCGTTTTCTTTTCTCATTACATCTCTTGTTGTTTTAGAATTTTTAATAATTATTAATAATATAATTATGTTTATTATTATTATTATTATTATTATTATTATTATTATTATTATTATTATTATAGTATTTTTTATTATACATTATGGTACGACGGTGAAGATGAGCAGATTAATAAAAGGGACAGCGATATCGTAGTTAAACTTAAACAAGCAAGTTTAATAATAATAATAATTAATAATATTATTTAAAAGCCGTGTAATTTTTTTTTTTTTTTTTTTTTTTAAATAAATCAAGACGAATTGTTTCGATTGTACAATGAATATAGATCGATTTATAAAATAAATGTACTTTAACAGGTATTTTGACTTTTTAAATTAAATTCTCGCTAGATCGTAGCAAATTAATTATATTGCAGCTGTCAATCAACCGTCATTAGGATTAAATTGCCCATTACCTTGATTATTTAATATGAAAAATGGAACAATTTAATGGAAACAATATTGTTTTGTTATTGTCGATATTCTTTGGAATAGTATTTGGTTTTACGTAATTCATAGATTAAGTTCGACAAGATGAAGTTTTAATTTGTTTTTTAAAAGAATTCAATGTCGCATTATATCCGATCGAACTATTCGAATGGATAATAACAATCATTATATTTACAATATACTTCATCTAAGTACATTGATTTAGTAAAATTTATAAAGCAAAATAAAAACATTATTATTGGCACACCTTAGACGTAAATGGAAAAATTATTTTTACGCTTTTGTGAAATTAATTATTCACTAATTTACATACATATGTAACAAAATTAACGAGAGAATTGAAATGAAACGATTAAAAAAATCATTTCTTAATAACCGAAACTTGCATGCATCCTCAGCTTAACTTATGCATTTGGTACTGATTGACTTTAAGGTTACATAACTCGACGAATTATTTTATCCTTTTTCAAGTATTTATTAACAGCGCAGATCAATTGTAGTGACAGATTATTACTGTACATACACTCGATAAAAATTTTATCTCCAATTTATATTGAGGAAGAATTTACAAGAAAGTAGATTGAAAAGAGGTTGGAAGCAAATTAAAAATACGTACAAGATTTTTACGTTCAATTTTTTTGATTTACATGTTTCACCGTTATTACTTTAAATAATTCAGTACTACGGCTATTTTTCAACAATGCAAATTCTGATTAACTTGAATCGTTCTTTACAATGTATGGAATTATATATTTCTTATATGTATACAGCATACACGAGTATTATCTAAGATGTACACGCTACAGAATGTACATATTAATGTTTAGTTTCATAGAACATAGAGCTACACATATGTATACATAGTTTCTCGCACACGAATGCACGCGTGCATAAATATATAAATGATAAAAATAAGAATTTTCACATTAAGGTGCTTTGCAAAGAGATTATTTTTCAGGCAGATGAAATGAAGTGAAATAAATAAATAAAAGAAAAGAATCAGTGAGAATGAACGCAGAAAGAGAGGGGAAAAAAAGTAGTTACTTTAATCTGAAAGAGCTTGTCAATTCTATTCTTAAAATTCCTCTTTTGTTTAATTCCATTATATAATTAAATATATTAAAAATAAATTTTGTATTTTGTAATCTTAATGCTTGGAAGTACGTTAAATATTTTATTGATGAAATTGTCGTCAGATTATAATAACGTAGATAATGTCAACAAAAAAAAAAAAAATATATATATATATATATATATATATAGAGAGAGAGAGAGAGAGAGATGTATCCTCACATATTTCAATGTTAAATATATATTTTTACATGTAAATTTATATCGTCTTAATGTTAAAAAGCACGAAAGAAATTTTCTTCGAAATAACAACAAATAAATATACATTATTATTATTATTATTATTATTATTATCAACACGTCTCTATCCGAAAACTAGTGAATTATCTGTGTGCATTTTTTATATAAGTTTTTAAAGACATTTTATATAATAAATCGATATTTTCGCATTTTCTGTGATATATTCCTATTATTGTATTTACCTAATAATTATACAATTTTAAATATAATAATAATTATAACGATAATTGTTTTTATCATTATTTCATATATTATTAGTATATGCCAAAACATATAATTTTATATATTACTTATTATTAAATTAAATGTTTAATATTCATAGTGTTATTATTAAGCGTTACGACAATGTGATTTGTAAATTAAATTTTCTTTCAATGTACGCTCGAGTCGATCTATTTTGAAATTTTATATTTTCCCGCCCAACGGAATAACCTGAAGAGTAGTGATCTTGCATCTTGAAATTTCAATATGACGTTGACGTTTACTTGAACATAACCTAAAATAATGCGGAGAGGTGAGAACGATGGTGGTGAACAATGTCAGGTAAATAATATCAATCCACTATATTACTTAACAATAATTAGTAAGATGTATGCATTATAAGATGTAATAATAACAATACTTGATCTATTTGATTGCAAAACTATCGTTGAAAATAATCTATAAATATTGTATTTAGTTTTGTCGGTCGTGTATAAAGGTTATTGTACAACAGCTTGGTCTGACATTCTTTTAAAATGTAACTTAAATTTATTGGCTGAACTTAAACATTAGAGATGATTGGATGATTTTCTCGTTTCATTTATGAGCTCGACATAAATAACCTATTTAATTAATGATAATGCATTCTAAATTTACAAGCATATTTACCATAAATAAATTACCATAAATTATAATAGCAGGATGTAATATTCCATCGAGATTAATGTAAATTGATATTTGTAATGATTATTATTAAGTAACTAATTTTTTTTATCAATTAACGAAATGCTTTCAAATATTACGAATCAAAGAATGTTGCCGTAGGTGTTGCGATAATGACGATCACTTACCGTTTCATTGACTAAGAATATTTTTTTAGCTTCAATGCCGCGTATACAAAATTATTTTGAGGTTTCTAAATTTTTTTCTTTTTAACAGCAATATGATCATAACAATCATTATAATAGAATTTTAACTTTCGTATTGTACAATGACATAAGATGTATAATAATTGAAAAGTATATATTTCAAAAATTTCGTTAGTATAATATTTAATAACTACTTTATTCATATAAATAATATTCTTATTGCTATTATCATCATCATCATTATTATCATTATTAAGTTATATCATGAATTATAATTTCTTTTATGTAAAAGAATTTAATATAATATATGGATATACTTGAGTGAATAGCGGACATTTGTCACGTATTGTAATAACATTTTTTTCAAACACAATCAATTTGATAATATTGAAAAACTTCTATCTTTGGAGAAAAACACTAGTTTCTAATTACCTTTGGCTATTTTCATATTTTTTAAACATTTTTCATTCTGTTACAATCGGATATATTTTTAATGAATTGATAGAATCGCAATATATGTTTATGCGTGCGTGCGTGCGCGCGTGTTTATATATATATATATATATATATATATATATATATATATATAATATAAAATCGTAATACTAATAGTTTTTACAATATTAAGAGTACTCGATATTTAAATAATTAATTATACTGATGTTCGATTTTAAATAGTTTAATAAATTTAAAATTTCTTAATTTAAGGTGCACGATGAATATGAGAGAGAAGCAAAAGTATGTTGAAGGATTCGAATTTCAATTTTGTGATCTAATAGCGAAATATGAGAAAGTGGCAAAAATTGGTCAAGGCACATTCGGGTCAGTTTTCTAATTAATAAAAACTAATATTAAACATATTTAATTAATTACATACAATTAAAAAATATTTATTTTATATAGGGAGGTGTTCAAAGCGAGAGATCGGGAAAGTACGGACAAGTTCGTAGCTATGAAAAGAATTTTTATGGATAATGAAATTGAAGGAGTAAGTTTACAAATACATTTATTTGACATTCCAAATAATATTTCTTTTTAAATGAATAATTATTATTTGTGTTTTATAGAAATGTTAATTTTAATTCTTTGTCTTATTTTTGTCTTATTTTTATATAGTTTCCAATAACGGCCCTGCGAGAAATTAGAATCTTGCAACTTTTAAAACATGAAAATATAGTTCATCTTATAGAAATCTGTAGAACCAAAGGTAGGTTGTACAGTTTTTAATTCTCACAATACGTTCGTCAAGTTCTACATCTGTTTCATAATAGTTTTTTTTTTTTATTTTCAGCAACATTACATAATAGATATCGATCAACATTCTATCTTATATTTGAATTTTGTGAACACGACCTTGCTGGTTTATTATCAAACGTAAATGTAAAATTTAGTTTAGGTGAAATAAAAAAAGTTATGCATCAATTACTCGATGGCTTGTACTACATTCACACTAATAAGGTAGTCAAATTATATATTTATGAAAAATTTTTTATATTATTTAGAACCAATATTTTGGAGTCTGTTGAGTTGGATAAATGAAATAAATTTAATGATACAATGATAAGCCATATCCAATGATTTTTTAATATAATATTAATATAATATAATGTAATTTAAGGTAATATATTCATTTACTACAATAAATATGTCAACGTGAAAGTTTTTTTTTTTTTTTATCACATATTTAATCGAAGCATTATAAATCTTTATTTATAAAATCCTCCACATAATTATAATAATAATATCCATAATCAACGACGGTAATTTTCCATTTAAATATTCATTGAATGTTAATATTAATTCTTTTAATCGATAATCGTTATATATTATTTGTACATGTGACACACTTATTTATATAATTATATAATATTTAAAAAGTGATATGGTTGTTAAATTTTATATAGAATATTTTATTTAATTAGGAAGTTAAAAATCCACAATATTTAGAATAGGAAAGCTAATAAAATTTTAAAATATGTAGAAAATTTGAGAAACGCGTGTCATTTGGCATCTCTATTTCTAGCTTATTAATATAATATTAATAAACAATGAAATAAATAATTATAGTTCTATATATATATGTTATTTTCAAAAAATATATTGTTCATCTAAAACTTGTATATCTACTGTGTTTTTCACACGTATATGACATGTATTTATATTTACGCAGATACTACATCGAGATTTAAAAGCAGCAAATGTACTAATAACGAAGAAAGGTATATTAAAATTAGCAGATTTTGGCTTGGCTCGAGCTTTCAGTGTAAAAGCAAACGGACAACCGAACCGTTACACAAATCGAGTTGTTACTCTTTGGTACAGACCACCTGAACTATTGTTAGGTGATAGAAATTATGGACCTCCGATTGACTTATGGGGTGCTGGCTGTATTATGGCTGAAATGTGGACGAGGTAAATTACTTCTTGGAGGAACTTTACTTGAAGTTTCAAGGAACCGGTTATTTTACTTATTAAACGCAAAGTGATATTATAATCGCTCGTTATAATTGAAATATCATTAAAAAAAAAAGAAAAAAGAAAAAAATTTTAATTTATTGCAATACAATATAATAATAATAATAATAATAATAATAATAATAATAATACTAACGATAATAATCGTATTTGTCAC